GCTGAGCCACCCAGACGCCCTCACGATAGGCATTTAAAGAGGTTCTGAATTTCTTATGGTTTTATGCCATCACTTGCATCATCATTATGTAATCAAATTAATCATTGAATTCCTGAGATATTAGGGAGACTCTCCCCACAAAAGTCTAATCTGGTTGGGAAGAAGACAACCCCAGTTATAGTAAAAGATTTAAGTAGCACTTTAAGATAAATAGTAGAAGGTAACCCAGAGGAGTGCTTGATAAGTGAATCATACAAACTGTAATTTCTTGTGTAAGGGTACATGGAGAAATACCCAAGCTAGGGCGTTTCAGGAAGGCGTTAGGAAGGAAGTGAGTTTTGAGTGGGTCATGATATGAGAGGTTGAGTTGTCTTTCCAGGCAATAGAAAAGGTATGATAAAAAAGGAGGAGGCAAGCAAGTCCAGGTGGGTGAGTGAACTAGTTTGGCAGGAGAAGTCATTGGTTGATGGGGTGAGGGTTGGGACAGCAGATAAGTCTGGGAAGGCAGGTTGAAGCCAAATTGTGGCAGGTCTTGAATAAGAATCTATCAGAATTGGGACTCTCTCTCATTCTCAAGGGAGACTCACTGAATTTTGAGCAAATAAGTGTTATGATTGAATTTAAATTTTAAGAAAATTAATTTGGTTCTATTTTAAAGGCAAAGCCACAGAACTCAGAGACCATTTAGCTCTAGCCCTTAGTCTCACAGATGAAATAGAGAGATTAAGAGACTTTTCCTTTCTTTTTTAAAAGATTTTCTTTATTTATTTAACAGAGAACTCGAGAGAGTACAAGCGAGGGGACTGGTAGAGGGAGAGGGAGAGGGAGAAGCAGGCTTCCCGCTGAGCAGGGCTCCATCCCAGGAGTAGGGAGCCCGATGTGCCCTGAGATCATGGCCTGAGCTGAAGGCAGACGCTTAACCGACTGAGCCACCCAGGTGCCCCGAGATTCTCTCTTTCTAAGAGAGAACCCATATTTCCTATTAATCTAATTTACTTTCTATGACTTCTAAAATTTAAAAATCTGCCTGGCTCACAGCCCTCTTTAGGAATAGGTACTTTATGGAAGGCAGCTCTCTAATGAGAAAGGAAGGTTGTACGTGAGGGTGTGTGAGGATTTGTGAGGTACCTGGTCTTCAGTTATACACAGGCAACTAAAGTGACAAAATAATGGTTATACTCTGCTTCCGCTCCAGTTGGATTCTGGGACTGAAACAAGGAGTATCCAGGTCAAGTTGGTTAGGCGAAAAGAAAAAAAGGGCAATTCAAGCAGTGTAACCCAGTAGAGAGAAAATTGGATGACTAGAAGATTTGGATTCTAGTCCTGGTTAGCAGTGGTTATGGGAGAAGACACACTTTTATCTGTCACATCTCTTCCAAGATTCAAGTAAATGTTTTTAGCTGATCATTTGGAACTTGCAATGTATTTCCCAAAGAAGTAATGTTATAAAACAGTGGTTAGTTTCTCAGATGATCCTCCAGGAATCTATAAAAATTCCATCAGAACTGAAATTAATACATATTTGCAAAGAGAAATAGAAATATTTTTTGCAGCATTAATAAATTAGCAAAACAGATTAGCCAAACTAATTATTGTGGGCTTTTTAAAATGGAAAACATTTAATTAGGAGAGGATATGGAACTGAAGGCTGTGGCGAATATGAAAGAGAATTACTTCTTGGCATTTTCAAGGTAATCTGAGGTTAACAGGCAAGGCTCACAAATGGAAAAGAGGCAAGAGAGAGAAAGGGAAAAAGCAAGCATGAGCTGTATGTGTTTTTAAGGAAGATGATACAAACAGTGTTTTGAGGGTGAAAGAATGGGCCAACCTGGAAAAAGCCAGGAGTGAGATACCACTCTGAAACAAAGGGAGAAATGAAGGAGGGCCGGTGACCAACATACAGGTACAGAGGTGGTAATCTAGACTCCAGGAGATTAGGCCAAAAGTGGGTCCAGGAAATAAATCAGAGGTAGTGAAGTCCCTGTGGGAAAGGTGGGACAAATGTTCAAAGCAGGGTTAAAGACTCAAGCTATCACCTCCAAATGTGAGGTTCTATCTGGAGTCCAAATTCAGGAAACTCCGAGGCCACACTTTGAGCCAGACCAGAGACATAGTAAGACTCCTTAGGTCCTGGGCCAGAATTGGTTCCAGACTGTTGGTGAAAGCTGGGGTGGGTGGAGAGCACCGTGAGGGGAGGAACCAAGCAAAAAACTTACAGATAGGGAACCAGAGTTAGAGAAGGACAGAAAGAAACGGGTCTTAAAGAAAAAGAAGGAAGGGACGGAAGGAGGACGGGAGGAAGGGAGGAAGGGAGGAAGAGCCAGGTCTCAAGTTGGTGTGCCGGTCCGTATGAACACTGAGGCAGGATCCTCAGAAGAAAAAAAGCCAGCGCAGGAAGAAATAACGCAGAGGGAGAAAAGGTGCTCGGAGAGACGACTCTCTAACCACCACCAGGGGGCACCTCCAGTTCCAGGACAGTTTTGTTGATTAACAAGACTGGGCATTGGTGTGGGGGAGGGAAGAGGACAAAAGAGTAGCCTTCCAACTGAGGGGGGGTTGTAACCAGTACTCACACGTACTGGACTAACCACATCTTCTCACCTCTCTGCTTCCTGGTGCTGTTCACCTTTTAGGCACTATTATTACTTGGCCGGCTGGCCAAGTGACAATTGAGAGGCAAGGTGAAAAAGGTTAAATAACAATAAAAGATACAGGGAAAAAAGAGAAGACAGAGGGAGAACTAGGAAAAAGAAACCGGGGAAAGAACAGTCAGGATATAATGCATTAGAAAGGAACATGAAGAAAAGCCGTAACTGTTTAAAAAAAGAGAAGGAAAAGTGCGGCAAGTCAAACTGACCTGTGAGGAAATGAGGAAAGACCAGGAGAAAGTTCCGAAAACAGCTAATTCAGGTTATGTGATTAATTCCACAGTGGCTTGTCACCCCTTTCACATCTCATTTATTAAAAGGATATCTAGAGAAGAGCTGTGCTTTATAAACACACAAAACCGTAGCCTTTGCTCTTTGGGAGCGTTTAGATATATGCTCATTTTTGTCAAAGATGAAAGAAAGCATATAGTAGAATTTGAGGAGGAATTTTAAATCATTAAATAGTTCCAGGTAATAAAAGAACAAAACTGCGTAACTTTTGGGCCGTTTCTAAGCCAGGAGAGAGAGTGGGGGAGCCAGTATTAGTATTTTGACTCATGAAAGATACATTTAAATATATATTTTTTAAGAATTTGGTTTTTTTTTTCTTAAATGCTGCTTTTTGAAAACACAACAGGTTATTAAAATGACCAGAATAAAGTGGGGAGGTGGGGGAGAATTTCCAGACCGCCCACTCCAACATCTATCACATAAATTCGTTCATGATTTTTCTCCCGATTTTGCACTGCTCAGGGTAGAAGAGGATCTTTGATTTAGCCACTGTACACTTTATGACTGTGCCTGTCACTCAGTAAGTACTTGACTACTTTAGGGGAAGGGGTAATGTTTCCTGAGAGGTGGCTACAGAACCCAGCTAAGGCCCTCAGAGATCGAGAAGAATCCAGTAGTAAAAACGTAATTGCAGTGACCAATACATCTGGGCATTCATTGTAGGTGTTGCACACTTCTAGTCTGTCTTTGAGGTGTTTTTTTCTTCTTTCGGACTTAGCATAATTGTAACGTACTACATAATTTAATATTTCGAAAGCACACGCCTCCACACTCCTCTCCTAGATAGAGTACAATCCCTGAGCCTGGCGTGCAGATCTCCACCCCTCCCAGAGTACACTCCTCAGACTATCTCCCGTTTCCCATCCCCCCAGCTTTCGAACTACATTGTGCGCACTCGTCCAGGCAGCTTTTCTGCAGCCAGGGCAGTTGCAGGGCTCGAAGCTCGTCTTCTCTAGGGCGGTCACACGTGTCCATTCCCTGGGGTGGATGGGTGGGGGTGTCGCTCTTCGCGCACCGCTGCTGATTGGTGCCTCCCCCTACCCCACCCTTCCCGCCGCACTCCAGCCTCCATCCTACTTGGTTCCAGCTTAACCAGCCCCACCACCTTCTTTCCTTGGAGAAAAGAGCCACTTTAGAGCTCTTTGAAACACCGTTCTTGGATGGAATAAAAGTGTTTGAGAACAGGTGGAAATCACTTTATTTCATCAGGCCTCATATTTCTGGGGTGCACAACCCACTGGTTCTCCGGTGCTACCCTCAGCACCAATAATAACTGAACTCTTACACGTGCGTGTTTCTGGATCTAGCCCCTACCGAAAGCACCACCCAGCGGGCTCTTTAAAAGGACGCGACCACTAAGGCCAAGTGGGGGGTGGGAGAGACCCTTATTGTCCTCATTGGTCCAAGTCATTAAACTCCTCAGTCCCAAACACCTGGAAAGCGGAATGAGTCCCAGGGCAGTTCATGGGGTGCACCTCGCTCCCTACAAGTCACACTCCTCTTCTTTCTTGGGGTGCTCAGTTCCCTCTCCCCTCCCCCTCTCTTCCAATGCAGCTGTCCGGACTGGGGGTGGGGAGTGGGGGGCGGGGGTTGTTGTTGTGGTGAGGGCAGCCCCGCCCCCTCCTCGTGGGCGGCCCCTCCCCCAGGCCCTCTGTTCGGCCCCCCCCCCCCCCCCCCCCAGCCCCATCTGTTTTCCCCAGCGGTGAGATGATTATATTGTATGGTACTGGGGGCGGCCGCAGCCGCAGCCGCAGGATGGGGCGAGCGCGCGGACCCCGTCGGCAGCCGGAGCAGCAGCCGCCTCAGTAACTCGGGCCTCCGAGCCGCCGCCCCCCGCCCGGGTCGCCCGCCCTCAGCTCATGCACTCGCCGAGCGGCGGCAGCAGCGGGAGTAGCAGCCGCCGCCGCCGCCGCCGCCGCCACCCCCGCCCGAGGAGCTGAGGCGCTGAGGCGCTGCGCCGCGGCGGGAGTCCGAGGCGGGCGGGCGAGCGGTGCGCGGGCAGCGTGGGGCCGCCGAGGCGCGCTTAGGGTTCGGGGCGGCCGCCACCGCCGCGCCTGGGAGATGTGCCCGGAGGAGGGCGGCGCGGCCGGGCTGGGCGAGCTCCGCTCCTGGTGGGAAGTCCCGGCCATCGCGCACTTCTGCTCGCTTTTTCGCACCGCGTTCCGCCTGCCCGACTTTGAGATCGAGGTGAGTGGCCGCGAGGAGCGGGCGAGGTGGCGCACCCCGCGCCCCTTTCTCCCCTGCCCCCTCGGGAAGTCCCGGAGCACCGTGCGGGAGGGAGCGGGGGGCACGCGGAGACTTTGGCCGGTAGTCCGCAGGCAGGGGAAGGGCTCGGAGGTGGGGGCACGAGGCGCTCAAGGGCCAGACCGCGGGCGGGGGCCACGCCGGGCTCCGCAGGGGACGCCAAGTGCCGGCGTCCGGGCTCGGGACGTTCGCTCGTGGCCGCCGTGCCCACCCGCGCCTTCCGGGGCGAGGCGGAGCGGGCGGCGAGAGGGCGGGGGAGAGTGCGCTTTTGTACGAGTGGGACCGGGCCGGCTTTCCCGGGACTTCTCGGGCAGGAGGCTGAGTGTGTGGGGAGAGTGTGTGCGCGCGCTCCCTGCCCGGTGCCATTGAAGCGGCGAGCCAGCTGCGCCGGGCGGGGACGGGGTGCGGGCTGGATTAACTCGGACTGGGCCGGGAGGCGGCCTGCGGCCGGTTGGGGGAGGGGTCTGTCGTGCCGGGGAGAGGCTCGCCCCCACTTCGGCGGGCGCGTGGAGGGGGAATCGCACTTTGCAGACTGCCGGAGGCCCGCGACTCTCGGGGGCGCTTTGCGTTAACTTCGGGCCGGCGGAGATGGGGGCCTGGCCTCGGGGGCGCGCTCTTCTCCCGGGAGCCGCCCGGCGCTCAGCCCATGCTCGGTTCTCCGAGGCTGCAGAGGGAAAGTTTAGGACTCCGTTATTCTTTAACAGCGCCTTTCCTCGGAACATACAGCCCTCTTTATGCGGGGTCCTCGGAAGCTCTTTGAGTTGATTTCGCCACCATTATCCCTCCGGGCGGGCGTGGAGTAAAGGGATGGCTTTTCTGGCCGGGCCGAAGGTGCTTTCAAACCCGGCGCTTTGTGATAACCGGACTAAAATCAGGGGGTCCTAGTAGCAGGGATGGTGGCGGGAGTGTGAGGAATGGAATGTACACGACGGCCCAGACGAGCAGCCAGCCCTTACCAGCGTCCGTCGTCCTTTCTTTTATTTTTATTTTTGGAAGGGGGTGTGAAATATTTGATTGGTTGGCAGGTTGAATTGCTTGCTCTCCTTTGGCAATATATATGTAGTGGACTTAACACCTTTTTCCTTGGACAAAGGTAAAAGGGAAACTGTTGGTCAGTTTTTCTTTTCAGTTCTGCCAATGAGTTCGCCAATGGAGTAATCAAAATAAGAATTACTCTTTTGGAGGAGCAAATCGTTGTTGCCTCCCCACCCCCACCTATCCTACTTTCTGCCATTTTCGGATTGATTTTAATTCGTTTATTCCTAGGATATTTGCCTCACCTTTATTTTTAGATTCAGTGTTTGAGGAAATATCATTTGCTTCTCATATGAATGAAGTGTTGGAACTTGCTCTTGTTGCAGAGTTAAATGAAATTGAGAAAATAAAAAGATCAAATAGAGGTACGGTGGGAGAATGAAGCGAAATGTAGGCTGATAAAGTAGGACCACTCTCTGGCTTTTGGCGATTCTTAGTTCCTGAAGCTGATTAAAACAATGTGATTAAATCGTAGGCTTCTGTTTTTAGAAAGATGTAATAACTTGGGCACTTTAGATAGCACATAGCGTTTGCTTTCAAAGTTTGAACGTAATTCTAACAAGCATGATCTTTACTAAAAATGTTAGTAGGATAACTGTTTTTATTGATGAAGAAGAGAAAGGGCCACAAAAATGAAAGATTTGGGAATGCTTAAATTCAAGAGATGTTTAACAGTTATTCTGATAATACTGTTTTCTTTTAGTTGGTATAAAATCGTGAGTAGTTTAGTTCTATCCGGCTGCTCAAAATGGTGGCTGTTGTGGGAGGTGTTGCTTGTGACTGTGCCATCTTGGGTGCTGGTAAACTTGCCCCCTAGCCCATTTTCTTCCTTGCAAGTAATAAAATTGAGGTGAGTGATGTTGAATTACAAGTTGAGAGCTTAAGGACCCATTCTAAAAATACTGTGGAAAAATCTATCTTCCAAAATCCATATATTCCCATTTTGTTGATGGAAAGATAGAGGTAACTAGTTGTGCCTTAAATTGTTACAGATCTCTAGAGTAATCTTTAAATAACTTGTCTTATAATCTAAGAAATAAACTTGTGGTTTCTAAGTATTAGCTGGTATAATTCCTAAAGGAAATGTAAGCTGATCAAAGAGGTTAAATTTGTATGAATAATAGAAGTGAAAAATCATTGTTACAGGGGAATAATTTGGGCTATTTGAGATGATCTCTCTTTTTATTGGAGTGATTCTTGGAAGTGACACTACTGTTTTTAAACTGCATGCTATTTGAAATACATGCAACACGAATGAATATTTGAACTCCATATGCGCATTTTTATAACTATCCATACTGTTTTTATTAGGAGTTCAGTAGGTAGGTAACAAATGATAGTGACTTTTTAACTAATGTAGTTCCCAGGTAATCCTCTCATGTGAGGTTTGTTTTGACATGGTTAATGCAAATTGTAACTTAAAGTTTTCAGTAGTTACCAGAAATTAAAAATTAGTCTTTTTTAGGCTTCTAACAAATTTGACTCATGACAGTGCAGAACTCACTGAAAACATCAGATTTATATATGTAAGTATGTAATCTCTACACCTAACGTGGAGCTCAAACTCACAACCCCTAGATCAAGAGTCCCATGGTCCACTGACTGAGCCAGCCAGGTGCCCCTGAAAGCATCAGTTTTCGTTCCAGTATAAATAATTTTTTTTTTTTTGCTTAGGTAATTTTTTAATCTAACAGTTTATTGTCCTAACATTTTGAGAAACAACCCCTTGGTTAACGAGTGTATGATACAATGGAAGACCTTCCTTAAAACAAAAAACCAATTCTGATGCTGAGTTGTATTTGTGAGGCCAGCTGGAAAGGCTCCCACCATCTTAATTTACTGCAACTTTAAAAGGTAAAAATGATGAATAATACCAAGTGGTAGAAGTTGTATATCAGCTTTTTTAGGAAACCAGTTTTCAGCTATAGGGGAAGATCTTGTTTTATCCTTGACCACCAAACTGAACTCATGGATTTTTAGAAAATTTAGGAAGTGGAATCCTCAAGGACTTGGCTTCTACTTAGGTAGAGTGAAGTAATCTCTTAGGTAGATGAAGGGCTGGGAGGATTCATGCTGCAATTCTGCAAGAGGTCAAGACCTCCCACTTACAGAACTGGTCCCCAAAACATGGGTAGTTTTATTTTTGCTTGTAAGAAAACTTTTTACTCTGTTAATCAACCTTGAATGTACAGGATTTCTTTAGGGATTCTGTAAAAATCAGATGGAAAATCTGTGAATGTGTAGATAATGCTTTAAGTTCAAAATTACTGGTTTGAAAAATAATACCGATGTTTATAAACCGTGAAAATTATAGCACAGTGTAGGTAAGAGAATTAAAATCACCCATAATTCCACCACTAAGAGATAAAAGCTGTTAACTGTTAACATTGTATCCCTCCACTCAGGTATAAAAACTATTAACTGTTAACATATTTAGAAATTCCCAAATATGCTCACAGTGTATTTGTGCCTTAGATGAGGTACTGTTTTTATTTTTCAGGTGAGGAGATTGAAGTAAAGCTGGACAACAGTAGGTTAATGATACTGAATTCAGTGGTTGGTATTATTAAGTGCCCCTACTCAACTAGGTGCTTAACTTCCAACTGGGAGATTACTAAAGAAGCTCATAACTCGCCTCCTTTGCGTGAGAAGATTATCTGTTAATATTTCAGAACGATTTCATTTAAATCAAGTATTTTATAATTGTTTAACATTCCAGTGGGTTAGGCTGGTTTTTTCCCAATTTGAGAAATGAAGAATGGTGAATTGACCTCTGCAAAGATTTAATGCTGATTTCCCCCCCCCTTATCAGGTGCTTCTTACAGTGAATGTAGTGTCTTGATCAAAGTAAGGGAAGGGAGTGTAGAATCATTTTGAACAGTCTGGTCTGGAGTTACTCATGATGGGTGTGACGTTCTGGGCAGAAATCCCGTTACAAACATTTTGGGAATATTTTCCTCTAGAGAAGAGACTAGTGCCTCTAGGTGGCTCTTTGAAAATGGTAATGGTAGTTTGTGTATTAGCAACGTGGTAAAAATAATCTGATTGTCGTGTCTACTTTTTCCCTGAGCTTCTTGCTGTTGAGTATTGAATCCTTTACCACCTGCCTTGGATCTCCTTCTTGGTTGTGGTTGTATGTAGGTAGTTTCTCACGTAATGAGCATGATGATCTGGGGGCAGTATCTTTAATTCAGATTCCCAGATTCCACTCTTGGTGTTTCTTGGATCCAATCCCTTAATCAAGGTCACCAAGGCATAAATTTTTCTTTTTTTAAGTAACCTCTGTACCCGACATAGGGCTCGAACTCACATCCCCGAGATCAAGAGCCCCATGCTCTACTGAGCCATTCAGGCGCCCCAAGGCGTAAATTATTGCATGAAAATAAGAAACGAGAATTGCTGAGAGTAACTTATTAGTGCATCAGTCATATCAGTCGTTCTTGAGCCTGGGCCTGTGGATGGGCTATAGGAATGGGTTATAGGAGATTTTGTGTTGGTGTGCATATATGCACTTTGCTGGAAGAGAGGGGCCTGTTTTCATAAAAATCTGAAAGTGGTCCCCAACCATACAAAGGTTGAAAAGCCCTGAACTAGATGAAAGAATAAGTTGACCTTGAATAGGGGAACCAGAAGCCTAGATTTATGACACAAAATGCACTGGACTAGGAGTTAGGAAACTTGAATTCTTACTGTAATTGCGCCACTAACTAGCTCTGTGACCTTGGACAGGTCAGAATAGCCTGATGATAAATGACATTTGCATAGTACTTGGTACATTTTCCAAATGTGGGGAGCCTGGCTTCTCCCTCTCCCTCTGCCTGCTGCTCCCCCTGCTTGTGCTTTCTCTGTCAAATGAATAAATCCTTCAAAAAAAAAAAAAAAGAGTCCGCATGCTCCACCACTGAGCC